TCCAAAGTTAATTAGAAAATATAATAATAAAGTGCATAGGTCTATAGGAATGAAGCCTAACCAAGTGAGTGTTAAGAATAGTAAATATGTGCATGAGAGGTTGACTTCTAAAATGCAAATTAAAAATCCAAGATATAAGGTAGGTGATAGCCTGGGAATTTCCAAGTATAAACACGTGTTTAGTAAAGGATATGTACCCCCAATTGGACAGGGGAGTTATTTACAATAGCAGAAGTTAAGAATACAAAGCCTGTGACTTACATTTTGAAAGATGAAAATGGCAATATAACCAGGGGAGGATTCTATACAGAGGAGTTGTTAAAGAGCAAGTATAAAGACATGTTGGTAGAGAAGGTAATTCGGAAGGGTGAAGGTTGAGGAAGGGTGAATTTTTTTGTATGTCAAATGGCTTGGGTTCCCAAGTAGCCAGAACTCATGGATTTCCACTAAGGATATTGAGAAGCAAGCCTAAGGGAGGGCGCCCGCAGCCGGGAGCGCGCCCGAGTTCACATACAAACCTCGCACGATTTTGAAAATATACGTGCAAATGGATATGGATTTGAAATGTTAATGGAGTTGTACAATGGTATTGAACATTTATATAGGGGTGTACGTACAGGCAAAGATCAGGATACTTGAAAAAGTGGCTAAAAATGATCCCCATGTTATTCTTATGGGGAAAAAATGCTCAAAGCGTCGTCATACCTGCATATTGCCACTACTTTACATTTACACTTGTAAGGGTCAATAAATGGAAGAAATAGCTTTTTTTAGCTTTATATCGAATATATATAAAAATATATAGGGAATAAGTAAGAAATAAGGTTTGACAATTACCTAGGGATATGTAGACAATGATCGGGATTTTTGGAATTGGTGGCTAAAAAATGATCCCCATGTTATTCTTATGGGAAAACGCCTAAAGTGGGGTATGTTTGCTATATTGCCACTACTCAGCTCAACTACAAACTTGAATAAAAAGTCTTAATGTAAAAGTTCACAAAAAAATATCAGTTTTTCAATAAACCCTCTCCTAACTGCACGAGCCTCAATTAAAGGATTGTATTTAATCACATTAAAGTATTAAAGATGCATCACCTGTTAGATTTATTTTTGTTTACACAGGGTGTTTATAAATGATTCTTCAGGTTTTACATTTTTTATTGACTTTAATACTGAACAAATATTGATAAAGACTACATCAATAGAAAGAAAATTTCTTCAATTTTTCTTAGATACCCTTCAATGTGCCATCCATTAGCCATGGAACAAGTTTCTAATCGATGTTGTAGATTGGCCCATACATTGGCTACCATCAAAATCTGATTGGATCTACAAGGTTGTGAATGCGTTCACCTAGCTCTGAAGATTTAGGGGTATTAGCGGTATTGTACATACTATTTCTCCTCATTATAGCCCCAGAGAAAAAAAACACCCTTCGTAACTTACACTAAACATGTATTAAAGATAAACTTGAGTCATATACAAAAAAGGTTTTCTCTTGAATTGTAATCATTTAGAATAATATGTAAGCAAACCCGAGAAAATTACAAAAATGAGTATTGAACAGCTTATTATAAAAATTGAAAATATGCTCTTTAATCACAAGAAATAAGTGAGATGCATGGCATTAAAACCTGATGAATCATTTATTTATACCCTGTAGTTTGTTTATGTTTCTTGAGTTAATCTTTAGATTCTTATCATGAATGTTAACATTACGATAAAGTTATTAGTTATTCGTTTTTATCCTGCCACACAGTTTAATAAACTGCACGGCTGTAAGTGACATTCTCATGTTATTTAAGGTTTAAACAAGAAATTTTCATTAAAACAAACAATAAGAAGGCCTACGGTGAGATTTGCCTGTAAAATTTGCATGGTTAATGTGTGTAACTGTTTTTTACAGTAGTTTTAGAGACCAACTTTATTCTTAAAAGTATTATTGCCCCGTTGCGAACCACAGGTAGAACAACTACTTTTTAATAATACTAGTAGCCCTCAACAATAAATCAAATATATTTTCAATATTTATTATTTTCTTTGTGTTTTTGATATGGCAAACTCAATTAAATATTGTAACTTTAGGACATGATTACAGTTGATTAAATAGCATCTTCAATAGAAAAGGTAATAGTTTAAACGGTGTTAAAATAACATCCACATCAATAAAGACAGTAAAATGTAAAAATATCCCATCCACCTACACATATAACATAATCTTATGTAAATGTCCCTTTTACTTGTAATCATCCCTTAAGCGGTGTTTACACAAGGCCAGTAGAGCAGGAAGGTTATGGGGTAGGTTACTTGCCTTTAATGTATTTTAAGTTAACCTGCCCACCAACTGGCTTTGTGTAAACACAGCTTAAAGCTACAACCACGACCAAACTACCAAGACAAATAATAAATACCCCCGCCGCAGCAAACCTGCAGACTAAGCGAATTTCCATTTGACTGATTTGATTTACACTGAAATGTCTACTTAAAAATATAACATTTATTCCTGATTTAAATAGAATTAGTTTAACAAGTAGGCCTACTTAGGTTTGCTGCATCAGAGAGGGTAAAACTTTTTTTTGTAAAATGTTGATAGTTAGTAAGAAATAAAAACATTTTCCAAATTTGATCAAAATATGTTCATAAACAAGCAAACTACAACAGTTTACTTATTCTCCATAAGAATAACATGGGAATTTTAAATTTACAATTTTTTGGAATTTTCTCCGTAACCATTAGGCGCATAATAACTCTTCAATATACTAAATTATTTGTTTTTTTAAGATCTACAAAATGGTTTGGAAAGAAATTGCTAAATTTTATGTTTTTTGGGTCAAAAATGGGAAAAACCTATTTTTACCCCATAAAACCCCCCCGTAAACCCCGTTCCCATGGTCCGATCATGCTGGATCGCGAACTCGTTTGAATAAACGTAGGTTTACACGTTTGTACCAAATTTCATCAAAATCGGATCATTTTTGCTTGAGTTATCGTGCTAACGGACACATATATATATATATATATAAATATATATATAAATATATATATATATATGAATTTGAACGGATGGTGTTTTTGGCCTCTAGGGACCTCAAAACGAAAAAAAAAATCGGTCCCGCGTCCAGGTCTTACCATGAGTACTACGGTAATAGCTTATTCCCTATATGGGAAATTCGCTAAAATGCTAAAAAATGGGTGATATTCAATTATATAAAAATGGTCACACTAAGCTACCTGTAAAAACCAAATGCGCCCAGGAGCGTTTTTAGGTTGCCGTGACAAATACTCTCCCCATTGTATATTATGGCACCAGCCAAACTAGGCAACAAGTCCCTCCCTCACATACCTAGTTCCTGCACTGTCTACTACTATACAGGGTGAATTTTAAATGAGTTCCCCCCCTACTTTTTTCTACATTTCTTAAGATATCATCTCAGGACCACGTCAGATCATTGTTGAGTAGTAAGTACTTCATTTTGACTGGGTATACATTTTTGGCCGCCATCTTGGATCCGCCATATTGGATACAAAGTTTTTTTTTCAAATGTAAAGGTAGGGTTGTGACCCATTATTTCAAACCAGAATTTTACGCTGATTACAATGCCACAATTAGTTTTTAAAAATCTTGATCCGTTCTAAAGTTATGAGGACTTTTTATAACTTTAGTTTTTCGCGCATTTTAACATTGTGCATTTACAAACTAAGACCATAATCTCAAAATAGTGCTAGATAAAGATAAGTATACACCACCATTCATTGCCGACATATTTTCACTTGGTTATGACGGATGTAGTTTTTTCAGCCGCCATCTTGGATCCGCCATTTTGAAATGTGATCAATTAATTTAAATATGAAGGTGGTGTTGTGACCCATCATTTTGAACTACTTTTTTATACTGGACTCAATGCTGCAATCCGTTTTTGGTTATCAAGCTGTCTTGATGAAATATTAAAATAGTCTTATTTAAAATTTCAATATTTCAAAAACCAAAGATGCAAATGAAAAACGGATTGCGGCATTGAGTTCAGCATAAAAAAATAGCTCAAAATGATGGGTCACAACACCACCTTCATATTTAAATTAATTGATCACATTTCAAAATGGCGGATCCAAGATGGCGGCTGAAAAAACTACATCCGTCATAACCAAGTGAAAATATGTCGGCAATGAATGGTGGTGTATACTTATCTTTATCTAGCACTATTTTGAGATTATGGTCTTAGTTTGTAAATGCACAATGTTAAAATGCGCGAAAAACTAAAGTTATAAAAAGTCCTCATAACTTTAGAACGGATCAAGATTTTTAAAAACTAATTGCGGCATTGTAATCAGCGTAAAATTCTGGTTTGAAATAATGGGTCACAACCCTACCTTTATATTTGAAAAAAAAACTTTGTATCCAATATGGCGGATCCAAGATGGCGGCCAAAAATGTATACCCAGTCAAAATGAAGTACTTACTACTCAACAATGATCTGACGTGGTCCGGAGATGATACCTTAAGAAATGCAGAAAAAAGTAGGGGGGGGAACTCATTTAAAATTCACCCTGTATAGCGTATCCTGTTCAGTATTGGTCTGACAATAATAAAATATGGAAAATATGCTATTAATAATACAGCTGATGTTATCCTTAACAAAATAAGCAAGCATAATAAGCTGTCGCATGGTAATAACAAACAATTTAACAAAAACATGCACTGGCGCTCCATTGTAACTTAGTGCAACAGCTGTTTCAGTTTGCCGGGATAGCGGTGTTGCCACTTTTGTTTCAGCACCATCTTATATAGAAAGAGGCTATGTTTTTACTCATGTAATTACTATCATAAAGTTTTTGGATTAAGGGTATTAGTTTGATAATTTAAAAAGAATTTGAAATTGGTCATAGGTCTTATACAACAGTATTACCATGCTGCAGTAACATTATTATTATCACCATGCAAATAGATGAGTAATCAACTAAACCTACAAGGAGCTAATAAAAATATGCGTGTCTCTTACCTTTACCAGTTCTTTAAGGCGTTCTCTTGTGTAGACAGCTCCGATCTCTTCACCGAGAGCCCAGTCCAGAACCTTGCTGATGGGGTACGCAAGAGGAGATGTAAGAACCATGACCACCTTAGTGACACCGATAGTCTTGGCTCCGATAGCGAGACCGTGACGCGAACACACAGCTTGGGGAGTGATCTCACCACACACCACGATCAACAGAGTCGACACCACAACCGCTACTAGACCAGATGTTAGGTCGTCCAGCAAAATGGTAAAAGTAGAGTTAACCATCACATTTCCTAACAATATACTGCACAGTAAGAAGTTTCCATGTTCTCTAACGGGTATAATCTGGCGTGCGTAGCGTCTTTCTTCTTCTGTTCCTGTGTTGCAAATAATTCTGAGATCAGTTCGATCCAGTGACATCAAACCTAAGTTGAGACCGGAGAAGAGAGAACTGAACGAAAGACAGGTCACAATGATCATCAGTTGGAGCCAGAGTGGAAGCAGCTTCTTGTAGGATCGAATCTGAAGGTATTGTTCGTCACCGAGATGTTTCCATAACGATTTCTGACCTTCAACTTGTTCCTTTGTGCACAGATAGTATGAGATTCCTGGTTTGTCAATTTCTGGCATCTGTATTTCTAATATTGCTGATGTTGCGTTTTTGTTTTTTGGAAGAACCAGCTGAAAACATAAAAACTTATTTAGCACTTCTGTTAGCATATAAATAATAACACCCGAAGAAACTCTACAGTCTAGTCTTCAAGTGAGTTTACCTTGAATAAACTTAGATTTTTAAGATTTTATCTGCCCAAGTAACCTGAGTAAAATATTTATGTATTGATTTGCAAAAGATATTACAGAATGTACTGAAATGGGCCTGATGTCTGATATATTACTATCATTAATTGAATCAACTTTAACATAAATATTCTGAAAAAATTGCTTGTTTAACGTGTAGTGGTGTAAAGGAAAAATGTAAAGTGCCGTTCAAGAAAAGTACATCCAACTCCAAAATCACTGTAGAAACTCAGTTGTTCGCAATTAAATACTTCATTGCCTATCTATTTTTCCCATAAGAGTTTAAAAACCCCCACATTTTCATGCACAATTTACAATTGACCAATAAATTCAAGCATGTGAATAAACTAAACCAACGCAAATCTATAAAATCTATAGTCTAGACTTCGCTCCAAGTATAGAGATGACGATACTTGCATACCTTTAAACTACAAAATAAACAATTCAACTAAGATATTTCTCATATTAAGTTATTGTCACCATAATTGATAAACAAATGTATACTACACTGATTATCGACAAGCCTATTATTATATGGGAAAGTTCATTGGTATAGATGGACATGAGAATTCTCAATTAGAATGTGATTCATAACTCAATTTTCAGACCTTTCAGTAGAGGTACTATTGATAAACACATAGTTTATTAACTCACAGTTTGATTAACAAGGATGGGGAACTCGCACATGTCTCCTCTGTTCCCAGGTTGGTCTGTCAGCACAAACCGTGTGTTCTCTGTCCAGCCACTACCAAACAGGCGCAACACTCCCTTACTGCCCACCAGGAGCTCGGGAATACCAGTCTCTTCATCCTGTAATACTCCATCTAGTCACTGTTTGACTAAAAACCAAGGTTCCTTAAAATAACCCTAAGCAAATTTCCTTTGTCTGATATGATTTTTACTGAAATATTCATTAGCACATGTCAGTTTTACTCCCTATTGAAATAAAATTAGATTTAATGACAACTTAAGCTTGCTGCTACAATGAAGGGAAAAGTGTGTTTTTATACAGGGTGGTAAAAAAGTCCCTGGACAGTTAAACATTTTAAAAAATAATGCAGATAGAGCTACAATACTTGGTACAAAGTTACAGGGCATAAAACTCTATTTTAACACATATTCAGTGATCCAATAACTCTTCAGGGGGACGGCCCACAAGGAGTCGGAAGAAAATCTTAAATGGAAGCATAGGTCAATATGCACATCAAATTAAAGGTCTTTTTTAGTAGAATACAATGCCGCAAACCGCACTTCAAAAGGTTGATCCTGCGCAAAATGACAGTTGTTCAAAGATTCATTTAATTTACATTGCTATTATACGCTTACTCCTCAAGGGGCACAGCCCTAGGAATCGGAAGAAAATTTTTAACATAAGCATAGGTCGATATGCACATCAAATTAAAGGTCTTCACTAGTAGATTACGATGCCGTAAATTCAAGCTCAAAAGAATGCCTGGGTAAAAAATGGCAGTCGTTCAAAGACTCAAAATGGCGGATTCAAGAAATCTTTAAACATCTGCCATTTTGCGCAGGATCAACCTTTTGAAGTGCGGTTTGCGGCATTGTATTCTACTAAAAAATACCTTTAATTTGATGTGCATATTGACCTATGCTTCCATTTAAGATTTTCTTCCGACTCCTTGTGGGCCGTCCCCCTGAAGAGTTATTGGATCACTGAATATGTGTTAAAATAGAGTTTTATGCCCTGTAACTTTTTACCAAGTATTATAGCTCTATCTACATTATCTTTTAAAATGCTTGACTGTCCAGGGACTTTTTTACTACCCTGTATATTAATAGTATAGAATTAAATAAATAAACTTGCCAAATTTGATCAAAATATATCCACAAACCAGAAAACTTCAGCGGTTTCCTTTTTTGTTTTTTTTATAAGAATAATTGAGAATTTTAAATGGAGGCCTATAAATTTGGAATTTTTTTCTACAACCATCAATACTTTCAACTGAAATGGTGACCATACAAATCGTAGAATGCTTCAATAAACAAAATTGTTTCTTTTCTTAAGCTCCACAAGATGGCTTCAAACAATTTTGCATTTTCATGTTTTATGGGTAGGCTAAAATTTTGGAAAATAAATATTAAGCATTTTGAAAACTCCATAAATGTTTTTTCATTACCAGATTATGCCACATTAACACATTTATGCCAAATTTCATCCAAATCGAACCAAAATTACTTGAGTTATCACACACATCTATATCTATATTACGTAAAAATTTGAAAGAATGGTATTTTTTACCTCTTGGGACATTGAAATGAAAAAGTAAAGCGGTCCCAAATCTAAGTCTTAAAAGTACTACCAACGGCAACGGTAATTGCTTCATCCCAATAGGAGAAATTAGCCAAAACCGGGTAGGTGGGTGGCTCAGTCGGCAGCACAACAGACAACAAATCCATAGCAATGATGTCAATCAAGGTTTGAAACCGAGAGATCCACACTAAATTTTAGTAGTGCAGTTCACTCTTGTGCTGTGTAATCAACTTAACCCTTGTTTTGTTGGCGACCCTCCAAGCACAGGCACGCCATATTTGGACGGAAGAGCAAAAAAAGCCCCCAACTAAATATAAGAGCGCTAACCCACAAGCAACACTTAAAAAACAAAATTTAAATCATCAAAATGCAGGGTTAAAACTAAACAAACTACCGAAGAGTTTGTCTTCTTGCATATTAACTAACAATATTGTCAAATTTGTTGTATTGCATGTTTACCTTGTAGGATGGCTTCTCAGAAGTTTCCAGTTTAAAGCCATAGACAAGCACTCTAGAATGACTAGAGGAAGGAGGGTTTTCCCCAGGGTTGAGAGGAGGTTCATCCGCCTGAACACTCCATGCGCTCACCAGTGGCCCACCGTCCTCGGCTACACTGCAACAAACCCTCTCAATAATAAATAGCATGCCTACAATAGACCAGCACCCTAGAATGACTAGAGGAAGGAGGGTTTTCCCCAGGGTTGAGAGGAGGTTCATCCGCCTGAACACTCCATGCGCTCACCAGTGGCCCACCGTCCTCGGCTACACTGCAACAAACCCTCTCAATAATAAATAGCATGCCTACAATAGACCAGCACCCTAGAATGACTAGAGGAAGGAGGGTTTTCCCCAGGGTTGAGAGGAGGTTCATCCGCCTGAACACTCCATGCGCTCACCAGTGGCCCACCGTCCTCGGCTACACTGCAACAAACCCTCTCAATAATAAATAGCATGCCTACAATAGACCAGCACTCTAGAAGGACTAGAGGAAGGAGGGTTTTCCCCAGGGTTGAGAGGAGGTTTATCCGCCTGAACACTCCATGCGCTCACCAGTGGCCCACCGTCCTCGGCTACACTGCAACAAACCCTCTCAATAATAAATAGCATGCCTACAATAGACCAGCACTCTAGAAGGACTAGAGGAAGGAGGGCTTTCCCCAGGGTTGAGAGGAGGTTCATCCGCCTGAACACTCCATGCGCTCACCAGTGGCCCACCGTCCTCGGCTACACTGCAACAAACCCTCTCAATAATAAATAGCATGCCTACAATAGACCAGCACTCTAGAATGACTAGAGGAAGGAGGGTTTTCCCCAGGGTTGAGAGGAGGTTCATCCGCCTGAACACTCCATGCGCTCACCAGTGGCCCACCGTCCTCGGCTACACTGCAACAAACCCTCTCAATAATAAATAGCATGCCTACAATAGACCAGCACTCTAGAAGGACTAGAGGAAGGAGGGTTTTCCCCAGGGTTGAGAGGAGGTTCATCCGCCTGAACACTCCATGCGCTCACCAGTGGCCCACCGTCCTCGGCTACACTGCAACAAACCCTCTCAATAATAAATAGCATGCCTACAATAGACCAGCACTCTATTGCGATTGTCAAAATGACAACTGAGCCATCCATTCTTTTACTGGCCTTCTATCTGTAGGACTCTACAGTCTAGTCTTCAAGTGAGTTTACCTTGAATAAACTTAGATTTTTAAGATTTTATCTGCCCAAGTAACCTGAGTAAAATATTTATGTATTGATTTGCAAAAGATATTACAGAATGTACTGAAATGAACCTGATGTCTGATATATTACTATCATTAATTGAATCAACTTTAACATAAATATTTAAAATTATACTGTAAATGTATCAATCTTTTTTCAAAAAAAATAATCAATTAAATCACAACTAAGATAGCTTAAGCTATTGAATTCAGTGTGTTGAATTTAAGCTAAAACTAACTAAACACAGACAAATTAAAATTAATTAAATGATTGCCGATCCTCTCAAAATAGAAGATTGGTCTAGCTTCTAGCTCGTAGCTACTGAGTTAGCAAGTCATTGTGTTCCCGATTTAGCCAGTTATGTAATCTACCATCAGTGGTAGTGGGTGTGTGCAATAAACCAGTAGCAGCTAGACAATCAGCTCATCAGTCAAATTGTCAATGAGAGGATCAAAGTGCGGCGACCCTCACCAATTAACAAATAATCCTTTAATACTAATTGTGTAAGAACATATATATGACAGCACTTGAGAAGTTGTGAATGATAAACGTACTGTGCCAGTGACGTCATGCTTCATAAAAAAAAAATATAAAAACCCTCAGTACAACAATCTTGCAGAATAAGATGTATACTAAACTTAACACAATATTTCAGAAAAATATTATATACAGTTAGGGTATCCCAAGTACAAACAAATAACACATGGAATGAGTATTTAGCTTAGATAATAAGGAATGCCCTTGGGTTAATTCCTTGATAGGTCTCTACAATTTAATTAGCGAATTTGTTTAGGGTATTCAGTTTCTTTTAAAGGTCTAGGCCACCGCTCCAACTAGAGAAACACGTATTATATAAGGAAAGCAAATGAAAATAGGTCTCATTAACACTTCAATCATATATTTACACTTATATTGTTAACTCACAAGACGGTAAATGTAAATCAAATATGGTAAATGGTGAATATATTTATTTTAAAGAATTTTTTAAAGGGAAATGTTATGAACGCTTGGGGAAAATTGTATCTTTATAATGAAAAATGTAAAATTCATTATAAATACACTAATTAATGAAAAAGTAAATTATGGCTCCACTTGTACTTCTAGAAACTTCTTGGCCGATACTTCCTACAGCCAATACAACTAATAAATCAACAGTTAATAATTAATGGGTTGTTGGAAAGCTCACTTCCTGTAGATTTGCAAATTATTATGAAAGTTTGTTTTTGTTAGGATTGGAGTTCTAATGGATTGATTTTGTGAATTATAGGGTCGTTGGAAAGCTTAATTTGTGTGGATTTGCAAATAATTATAAAAGTTTGATTCATTGAAGATTTATAAATTATTTTACAGTATTTAGATTTATTTTACCAAGCATATGAACAATCTTTCTAGAGAACGTTGTAATTTAACCAACCACAATGGGCTCTGTTTCTAGTTTGCATGTATATTGTAAAAGCATAACATTTTTAACAAATAGTGTTTTTGGTTTTTGAGGTTGTCAAAATTAAAAAGTAAAGCGGTCCGGGGTCTAGGTCTTACTGCGCCACCAATGGGAATAGCTTCTTCCCTATATGGGAAATTCGTTAGAACAACACTAGTTAATTGTTATTAATAAGAAAATCAAATGTCCTGAGCCAGTGCCAGTAGTGGTGGAGGTTTGAACCTGAGCCATGGGACCCGCTACCTGCCCACTCATTCATGCCTACTGTAGACCACTGCCAGACAATGACTACTTCTAATCACATACTGGTACTGAGAAGTGTTTCATTCATTTGACACTAATACATTGACTTGGTAATAGCATATTGGTATTTAAAA